TCTCACATTTATTATGCTAACTACTAGAATTTGCTTCCAGCACATTACATGCTAGTATAATAATTCAAATGAACTGGCCAGCATTTAAGCAAAAGAGTAAGTTATTTAACAGATATATATTATTGTCTCTGTATATATAAATTTGCTCTATATAGACATCTGTCAATCTAACTATCACAGTTGCATTATTTGCATTACTTAAATTCTGATTTAAAAATATGTAAAAATGCTTTTTACATACCTTAATATTACATTATGATTACACTGAGAGATAAAATATATTTTGTAATTTACAATGGCCTATCATGCTTGTGAAAATGCAAATGCAATGAAAAACAGATGTCGCCCACATACCTCAGAAAATAGCACAACATTTTTAATGTTAGGAGATATTGATATAATCTGCTGAAGGATCAGTTATAAATCAATCTGTCAAAAGCTTCAAGGTAATTTTTAAGAAAAGCTATTTAGCTTTACCTTAGATATCCTATCTAATAAAAGAGTAGTATGCAAATTAACCATCACTCCACTATACCCACAAACCATGCTACTAGCCACACCCACTAGCCATGCTCACAAGCCAATCAGAATTGAATATGCAAATAAACCCTGGCCACACCGAGCAGAGGGTGGCTTGGTTTCCCCACCAATGGAGGAAACCAAGCTTTCCACCTGCCCTTGACAGGCTAGGCCTCCACTCAAGGCTACAAAGTTTCAATGATGGAAGATACATAAAAACAAACAGGTGGCTGCATCAATGGAGCTGGAAAGGGCAGAAGGTTAGGATTGCCCCAAGCAATGGAGGAAGCCAACCTTTCCACACACCCTGGTCTGCCCAGGCTTCTGCCTAAGGCTACAAAGTTTCAATTATAGAAGACACATAATTCCCAAAAGAAATGGCTGCCACCACAGAGCAAGCAGAAGGCGTGGCTCCACTCCACGCCTGTTATACTAAGTTTCAATTGTAGAAGATAAATAAACCTCAAATACCAGGGCAGGGGGCATGGCTGGCCTGCAAATCACCACAGGCCCCTCGCCCAGGCCACCCCACACCCTGAGGGAACCCCCACCCAGATCCGGGACACTCTTCAGGGCAAACCAGCTGGCACCCACCCATGCACCAGGCCTCTATCCTATCTAATAAAAGAGTAATATGCAGGTTGACCATCACTCCAACACACAAGATGGCTACCCCCCTGTGGACACAAGATGGCCACCACAGATGGGTATCAGGGGAGGGCAGTTGGAGGGGACCAGCCCTGCAGGGGGAGGGCAGTTAGGGGCAAACAGGCTGGAAGGGTAATGGTTAGACATCAATCAGGCTGACAGGGGAGTGTTAGGGATGATAAGGTTGGCAGGTGGAAGTGGTTAGGGGCAATGAGGAAGGCAGGCAGGCAAGCAGTTGGGAGCCAGCAGTCCTGGATTGTGAGAAGGGATGTCTGACTTCCTCTTTAGGCCTGATCCCTCAAATGGTCCAAGATTGGAGAGGGTGCAGGTAGGGCTGAGGGACAGCCCCCCCTCCCATGCATGAATTTCATGCACAGGACCTCTAGTAAAAATATAAGTCTCCAAAGAGGAATGGGAAACAAAAATATTAAATATCTGTATATCTAAAAACTATGATGTCACTTCTAAAGACTTTACTATTGTTATGCCCAGACTTTGTGATCCCCAAGGACCACCAGGAGCCAAGTCCGATGCAATAAACAAAAGAGCCTCTTCCATGCTAGCATGGGCTCCTCCCACTCATGCCACACCGGCAGCATGGCGGAAGAGAGAGCAAATTTCGCCAAGCCCTGGAGTTTTACTCCGGTGGTGATGCCACTGCTTTGGCTAGGGTCCAGTTAATGGAAGATAACTGCCCTGCCCCACAGTGGAGTCAGGAGTTTATCCTCGCACTGCCCTGCCCTCTCAACTATATCATAAGCAAAGTATAAAAAAACAAAATATTTCCAGATGTTGAAAAGTGACTCTAATTCAGAAAAATGTACACTGTGAAGTAAATGAGACTCAAATTTGTAGTAATATCAGAAGAAAGGGTATGTAATTAAATGGTAAGTGCATGCGCTTGCTAGTTGGTGGGAAATAGAAATGTGCTACATTTAATGTCATGTTATTTATCTCTTTATCCCCTAATGTGTTATTAAAATAAGTGTGTCTTAAAACCCATATCACTTTTATCTGAGGTTATAAGGCAATTACATTCTAACCCATTAAAATGTTATCTTAGCTAGTTTTTACTCTAGAATAATTGTAACAGTATATATTAGGTCATGTATTACCTGGTAAGCACAGGTGGAAGTTTCCTCTGAGCAAATCAATATCTCTCTTACAGGGTCACTGCACACACAGCAAAGGGAGCACACATGTGTCTAAGTCTGCTATTCACTGGTGCACTCTTTCATCTCCTCCTTTAGGTTCTCACTTGCAGTACTGAAAATGGTTTGATACCCAGAAGGGAAGGAATAGATGGCTTTTTTTTTCCTTTTCACGTTTTAGAATCTATCGCAGCCTTCTGCCTTTATGAGATAATATTGTTGCTTTTAAAATTAAAAAAAATTAAAATATGATTTGTCTTTCTGAAACCTTTGCAAGAATTGTCTTTTAAGTATTCTCAGTGGTAAAAACAGCAAACAGCAGCTTTCCATAAAAATGCCTCCTTGTAGTTTATTTTTAGATTTTGAAGTTATCCCCTAAATCATATGAAAGGAATATATCTCCTAGAGAAATAAAAAGTCAATTGAAAATTTTAAAAAATATAAATGATACCACTCTGCATATTCATCAAGACTGTATTTTTAGATGGCAATTTTCTGTGGATCTCTTGATTTTTTTATTTTTTTATTTTTTTGCATATCATGTGCAGAGACACTGTCTTTTTATCCCAACCTCTCTTTTCAAGTTCATTTGCATAGCAAACATTTGCATAGTGTCTCCTCTGGAACATAAGGAAGGTCTGTTTAATGTCTGGTGTAATAAACATAATGTCTCCGTTTTAGATAATGCAGGAGCAGGTTTGGTTACTATCAATTACAAAGCTCAGGGTTTCTCAAATGTGATACAAACCCAAGTCACATATAAAATCAACTGGGCGCTCGGGCATCACCCTGTGGGGCTTGGGAGACAAGGGGAGCCAATGCTACTGTGAAGCTTAGCTATCAGTTTATGCTGACACTATAGACATCAGATGTACAAAAATCAGATACATATTATAATGCAACTATACCTATAATAGCTACATTTAAAAAAAACTGAAAATGTATACAAAGAACAGAAATTTATAAAAGTGGCACAACAAAGATTTTTAGACTTACATTTTTAGAGAAGTTTTAGGTTCAAAGCAATAATTGAGCAGAATGTACAATGATTCCCTACATACTCCCTATTCCAAAGCATGCATAGTCTTCCCTAATATCAGCATCCTCTACTAGAGTGGTATATTTGTTATAATTGATGAACCTACATTGACCCATCATTATCTGCCAAAGTCCATAGTTTACATTAAGATTTACTCTTGGTGTTTTAAATTCTATAGGCTTGGGAAAATCTATAATTACATGCATCCCCCACTATATCATCATGCAGAGTAATTTTATTGTTCAAAAAAATCTTCTGTGCTCAGCTTGTTCACCCTTCCCTCTCTCCTAACCCCTGGGAAGCACAGTCTCCATATTAGTGCCTTTTCCAGAATGTCATATAGTTGGAATCATAGAGTAGGCTTTTCAGATTGGTTTATTTTACTTAATATGCATTTACATTTCCTCCATATCTTTTCATAGCTTGACAGCTCATTTCATAATAGATCTAAATAATATCCCACTGTTTGGTTGTAGCACTATTTATGTTTGCACTTACTTGCTAAAGGATATCTTGACTGCTTCAAAGTTTTGGCAATTATAAATAAAGCTGCTATAAATGTCCAAGTGCATATTTCACCTTTTTGGGGAAATAGTAAGGAACACAAATGCTGGGTCATATGAAAAAAGCATATTTAGTTTTGTAAAAAAACAAAAAAAACTACCAAACTATCCTCTAAAGTGGCTGTACTGTTTGACATTCCAACCAGCCGTGAATAAGAGTTCCTAGTTGTCTGCATACTTGCCAGCATTTGGTGTTGTAACTATTCTGGATATCGAATCTTTTAATAGGTGTGTAGTGGTAATTCAATTTTGTTTAATTTGCACTTCTCTTATGATATATCATAGGTAGCATTTTTTTATTAAAATCTGTGACCCATTCTTTAAATGTGTTTTGTTTGTTTTCTTTTTAAAAAATATATTTTATTAAATTTTTACAGAGAGAAAGAGAGAGGAATAGAGAGCTAGAAAAATCGATGAGAGAGAAACCTCGACCAGCTGCCTCTTGCATACCTCCTACTGGGGATGTGTCTGCAACCAATATAAATGCCCTTGACTGGAATCGAACCTGGGACCTTTCAGTCTGCAGGCCGGTGCTCTATCCACTGAGCCAAACTGGTTTTGGTTTTTGTTTGTTTTCTTATTGTTGAATTTTAAGAGTTCTCCATATATTTTTTTATAACAGTTCTTTATCAGCTTATCTTTTGCAAATATTTTCTCCCAACCTATGGCTTGTTTTTTATTCTCGTGATATTGTCTTTGGTAGATGAGAAACTTTTAATCCATTTCATTGTCTATGCCAAAGACCAGTTGACTATAAATATGTTAAGTAATAAGTAAAGTTATATATCTCCAACTTTCCAAATGAGACTTCAATAGACTTTTGTTTCATATCTCTCTGATGCTTAAATTAGATGACTTTAAATCTGTTTATATGCCAGGTTATTCTGTGACAATTTGGTGATTATCTACAAATGTCTGCAAAATTTGATGCTTATTATAGAACTTCAACTTTAATAAATAACATTAGTACTTTCTTATTTAATAAAATTTCTGAATGCCTACCTCTATTTGGTTACAACACAATTAAATACCTCTGAAGGAAATACTCGGAATATTATTGCATAAATATTTTGATTTCAGGCTGGACAACAGCGTTGGTGGGAACAAGAGATTAAAATAAATGGAAATATTCAAAAGGGAGAATTAATTACATATAATTTGACTGAGCTAATTAAACCAGAGGCTTATGAAGTCCGACTAACACCTCTCACCAAATTTGGCGAAGGAGATTCAACAATTCGTGTCATCAAGTACAGTGGTAAGTAACCTTTTATTTAAAAGTATTTATTTTTACATTAATCTATCTGTAATATGTAGCTTGCAACTATCTACCAAATTTAGATACAAACTAAAATTTAGCATATTGATTTACTGGATCATCAGCTAAGTGACCAAAAAAATTCCATACTATTTAATCATAGGTGGTAATATTTGATTATAAATGTAGAGATATAGAATAATGTTTTAGTTAACATTCAATCTACTCAATGATGTCAGCAATGTTCCTTTTTTCTACACCATAGTTATGATGCAATATTTCTGCATTTTAGTTTTTTCAAGTTCTTGATGGCTTAAAAATTTATATCATTAAAAGATAAGCAAAAGTGATCAAAAAGCATTTAAAAAATTAATGGACTATATTTTTTACTTTTTTAGATTAACTTTAAGGTTACATAAAATGGAAACAGAAGTCTAGACAGCTTTATATATGCCTTCTCCTCCAACACAGTTTTCCCAATTATTAACATCTAACATTAAGTGAACAATTGTTAGAGTTGGCTAACTGATATTGACATTTTATTATTAGAGTAAATAGTTTACATTAGGATTTATGATTTGTGTTTACAGTTCTGTAGATTTTGAGAAGTGTGTGATGTTATTTATCTGCCATTACAAAACCACATAGATAGTTTCACTCCCCTAAAAAGTCACTCTGCTCCATCTATTTGCCCCTCCCTTCTTCTTCCAACCCTCAGAACCATTGATCTCATTCTTTTTTATTTAGAATTTTTTTTTCCAAAATTTTGGAATCATACAGCATGCAGCTTTTTTAAACTGGCTTATTTCACTGAGCAATACACATTTAAGTTTTTCCATGTTGTTTGTGGTTTGATAATTATTTTATTTTCTTGTAGAATAATGTCCCATGTGCAGAGTTATTATTGTTTATCCATTCACCTATTGTTGAAGAGCATCTTAGTAGACTCTTTGGGTCATTATTTTCTTTATATTGCTAATCTTAAAAATATCTAAATGTTCATATGAGTTTGTATCTGACAATGTATCTTTACAAACTACATGCATTTTATATTTCTTCACTATTTACATGTCCTACTTGAGAAAAAAATTAAAACTAGTATAAAACTGTAAAATAATTGATCAAAACTTTATCTAAAAAGTATAAACAATAGCAATGGTTAGCTCCAGAACTGTCAAAGTATGTTCAGGCTTGAATGAATCAGTGTCAATATATTTCATATTTATTTCATTAATCCAGTTAAATATTATTCTTTGTTTGCCATCTGAGTTTGACTTAAAAAGATAATACAATATTTATTTTTTGCAGTTGAAAGTCTCCATTCTTTTTTACATTAAGTATATTTCCCATGTAAGAAAGAGTGAATACTATCATAAATAAAAAGTAAAGTGAAATTCATAATTCATTAAAACTTATTTTTCATGTTAAACCACTCCCTTTCTTCACTCTTTTCTCATTAGTCAGAGTATATTGGGTATGATGTTCAATTTTGATTAAAGAGTAAGATATATAGAATAGGGGAAAAGTAGATTTACAGTAGCTTGTATGGAAAATAATACAATAATTAATACATAAGAATATAAGAATAAACTGTGTTTCACATACAATTGTAAACCTACTTTTGTGTTATCTTGTGTATGGTAGAGTGGAATATTCATTAAAAGCATTAGAATCACTGCATCTTTTTTAAATGTGTCCTTTGAAAATATATCTTTAATTTTAGTGATATTTATATAGTATGCAGAATACAACTGATATTCTTTAATCACTACCGTTATTTCATTGGACAGACAACTAGAAAGCATCCAAATATATTTTTCTAAAGTTTTAGTTTTATATGTTTTTAAACTATGAATTATTATCTCCTCTTGTCTTTTAGTTTTAATTAAATTTATTAGGGTGATATTGGTTAAGGAGATCATATAGGTTTAAGTTTCATTTCAATGACACATGATCTTGTCTATTGCCTTGTGTGCCCACCACCCCAACGGGGTGAGGAGTAGGAAAGGAAAAAGTTGCCAAGTATATGGTGACAGATGATTTGATTTGGGTGGTGGGTATATAATATAATATCTCCTCTTATCTAATGTTTATTTTCCTTACCATCAAGTTATAAAACTCTGGACTGTTTAATATGAAGGGGTATTAGAAACTATGCATTAACATTTATTTATTTCAAAGTTAAAAGTATCAGATTCAAAAAGTTTTTGTATCTTATAAATTTAAACAATTATGAAACTGCTAGAGGCTTGGTGCATGAAAATCCATGCACTCAGGGGGTCCCTCAGCATGACCTGTGCCCTCTCACAGTCCAGGACCTCTCGGGATGTCCACCTGCTGGCTTAGGCCTGCTCCCCAGGGGATTGGGCCCGAGTTGCAGCCGACATCCCTCTGGCAGCCAGGAGTGGGCCTAAGCCGTTAGTCTAATATCCTTAGTGCTACTGCCTGCGCTGTGCTGACCAGCCATTAGCTGCTTCTGACTTGACCCATGCTCCCCATTTGGAAGTGCGTTGACTACCAGAGGGCAGCTCCTGCATTAAGCGCCTGCCCTCTGGTGGTCAGTGCATGTCATAGCGACTAGTCATTCACTGATATTTCCACAATTAGTGTCAATTTGCATATTACCTTTTAATTATATAGGATAAACTCAATAGAACTAGGGCTCATCACTCAATGACAGAGTATCCATGCTTCTTTGCTAAGTTTAGAAATTATTGTGACTATCTTAAAGTGATATAGAAAATATTCTTCCTGAATTCAGTGGGTCTTATTGAAAATCTAGAAGCCCAGTGCACAGATCACTGCACTTGTGAGGTTCCTAGTCCTGTTTGCAGGGATCAGGCCAAAACCAGCTCTCTGAAATCCCCAAGGGGTCCTGGATTGCAATAGGGCATAGGCCAGGCCAAAGGACCCACTGGTGCACTATTGGGGCCAGGGAGGGACTATAGGAAGGCTTCAGGGCATGTCTCACCCATCTTATCCAGTCCTGATCTTCCAGACCCCAGCAGCGAGCTAACCTACCGGTAAGAGTGTCTGCCCTCTGATGATCAGTGCCCCTCATAACAAATGATCGAATGGCTGAACGAACAATTGGACAGTTAGCGTATTAGGCTTTTATTATATAGGATATGAGGCAACAAACTAAAATAAAAAATCTGAAGCCCCTGTTTGGCTCATTGGATAGAGCACCAGCCTGCAGAATGAAGGGTTCAATTCCAGTAAAGGACATGTACCTTGATTACAGGCTCAGTCCCTGGACCCTGTCAGATGGGTGCAGGGAGGCAACCAATAGATGTGTCTCTCACATCAATGTTTCTCTGTGTGTCTCTCCCCCTCCCGTCCACTCTCTTTAATAATAAATGGAAAAATATCCTCGGGTGAGGATTAACAAAAATAAAATTAAAACTGGAAAATAAATATTATGCTTAGTTTTAATTTTCTTTAGTTATCTTTACATTCTTAAGTATACCTATTAAAATTGTAAACATTTCATTAAAATTACTAATTGAATATAGGTTGGAATAAAATATGCTTTAACCGTATTCTTGTATTTATATGAAATTAGACATCAAATTCCATTGCAATAAGAAGATAAATTCATTTCATTACTTAGAATTTAGAATGGCAAATTTTCACAAGGGTAGTTGTGCTATTTTTAGAGAGTTTTGTGACTAAAAACATCAGATGAGAAGACAAAATTCAGCATGGTCACTCAGACAGAGAGAGCGGATTGTTGGTTTCCAGATGGAAAGGGGACATTGGAGGACAGAGTGAAGGGATTAAGAAGTAAAAATTGATAGTTATAAATTAGTCACAGGGATGTAAAGTTCAGCATAGAGAATATAGTCAATAATGTTGCAATAACTATGTATGGTGCCAGTTGGGTACTGGAAATATTGGGAAGAACACTTTTTAAAGTATATGATTGTGTAACCATTATGCTGTACAACTGAAACTAATACAAAATAATATTGAAAGTAAACTGCAATTGAAAAATAAAAATTAAATAGTCAGTCTGGTCAGAGGTTACCTGTAGTTGTGAATTATTTCTTAAAATTAAATTATAATTCAGAGATGTTTACTCCTTTGAAAGATAGACAATATTATATCATTTTAATTACAAAATAATTTTTATTTTTACAAATTAACTTTCAAATAAAATACATTGATATTTTGCAAGAAAAACAATTATTTTTCTCCACCTCAATGAAATTAGTGAATGTATTGTCCCTTCACCATGTTACTTATTTCATCATTTTAAATGGGAATACAGAATAATAAAAACAACTAAAGTAATTGGAAAATGTACTCACTTTATTAAATGAACTCACTTTATTAAAGTTGGTCTCAATGTACTAATGGACAATTACATATGAGCATGTTTTGTGCATGTGTATACATTTATTGAGTTTTATACTTCACTAGTAAAGTCCCAAGTTTAAGATAAGTGGTTAGTATCTAACACTAGGAATTAACAGTAGAGCACATAAACTTTTGCGGTTGGAATAGCTGCCCATTGTAATCTTGGGAGACTACAAAAATGCTTTCCTTCATACAGAATGGAACTTTCTTTCCAAGTGATAAATGATTACTCAGTATATACAGATACCATTTGTCTTTTACATTAGATGTATTTTTGTTATTGTTTTAGTAGAATGTGAAGTGTTTAATACTCTTCAACCAGAAAGCAATTAGTGCCTTGGGAGGTGTGCTCAGTTGGTTGAATGCAACAAAAGATCGCTGGTTCAGTGACCTGTCAGGGCACATGCTCAGTCTCGGGGCTTCACCCATGAGGGTGTGCAGGAGGCAGTCAATTGCTGTTTCTCTCTCCCTCTCCCTTTCTCTGTCTAAAAAAAGGCCATAAAAATACATACTTTTAAGAAAAAATCAATTGTTACTTTTTTGCAAACACAACCAATCTTTTTAAGATAAATATTTCTTCTGGTGCACAAAAATGCAAATGTGTTGCTTAACATTTGAAAACTGTGTGTGTGTGAGAGAGAGCACCTGTGTGTAAATGTAATGAAACAAAGCAGCACTGAAGTGGCAGTTTGTTTTAGGAGGCTTACATAATGTGATCTGAAGATTGCTTTACTTTCATATATACCATTTTATTTTCACCAGAAGTAAATAGCAGCAAAAAAAAAAAAATACCTGAGGTGTACTCTCTGTTGATAATTGCTTTCATTATTAAAATATCTGGATTATATATTGTCCTACTGTCACCCTCAGTTTTGATTTCTGCATTTTGCTTAGAACTGGTTAAGGTATAAAAGTCTGCAACTCCACTCTTTGAAAGATGACAAATTCCACATGCTATTAAACATTGAGCTTTGAGTACTTTCAGGCTGTTATTGCTGTGCTCCAAAGTAGGGTCTATTCAATCCCCTTGGACAAAATGGATTGCAAATATAATTCTCCATGGTCACAGTGAGGAAGATCATTAAGCTTTGGTAAAGAACTAAGAGACACTGATTAGACTTTATTGATAAAAGACATTCTAGCTATGCTAACATTATTTTTTGTTTTTGTTTTAATTTTCCTGTAGCTCCTGTTAATCCTCATTTAAGTAAGTATATTTTTACTTTAAAAATTACATTGTATTCTATACTTAAAAATAGAAAATTCATAAACATACAAATACTGTTTAGCAACTATTCTTATTTGGTTTAAAATAGGCTAAGAATCAATAAAATGAGCATTAAATGTAAATTTTAAGTTCCAAGGATATGGATATAAAGACAGATTATTTAATATTAATATTGATTTTAATATTTTTTCTAAATATGGAGTCATTTACTTCAACGTGCTTAATATTTGTTATTTGTGTAACTGTGGAATTAATTTTTTTCTATTGTGGCATTACATATCATTTTTATTGCTATTATTTTCTTTAATTTTCATTTTTTATTTTTACATTCCACTCATAAAGACTATTGTTACTTAGAAAATTGGTATTTGAATGATTTAAGCAAGATTTTTCATGGAGCCCTGACTAATTGGCTCAGTTGGTTAAAACGTCATTCCATCCTATACACTAAAACAGTGTGGGTTCAATTCCCAGTCAGAGCACAGACCTAAGTTGCAGGTTTGATCCCCAGTCAGGGTGCTGACTAGTGGCAACTATTCAATGTTTTTCTCTCAAATCAATGTTTTTCTCTTTCAATCCCTCTCTCAAAAATCAATAAAAACATATCCCTTGGTGAGGATTGGGGGTAAAATCTAAAGATTATTTAATAGATTACTACTCTATACCCCAATCTTATCTAAAAAAAAAAAAAAGGTTATAAACTGGTCACCATTGTTTTAATAATATTTCACATTAAAATTAAGAATGATTTTGTGTGTTAGAATATATTGTTCTTGGATAATAAAAGAATGAAGAGCCCCTTTGCATTCTTAATCCCATCAATACAAAATCCTCTATTTCCTATTCTCCATTTTCTCACTTTACTGTAGTTCCTTTTCTGCAATGGTCTTTCACTTCCTACACTAGTATAATAAAGACAAAACTATTGAATATCTGTTCTTGTTATATTTTCTACTGAAGATCCTCTTTAACTCCATTTTTTCATATTCAAAGTTTAATATTGGATATTTTGTAGATTTCTATTGTTTACATATTTCTTTCCTGTTATAACAGTTTATTTAGTCATCAAAATGACCCCTTGAAGTAGGTACTATTATCAACACTTTGCTGTTCACTTTTATATATAGTTTAGTACAAATACATCTTGCTTCACTAGGTATTTCCTCTTTTTTATTTCCCATCATAATTTATCTTCATTGTATGATAAGATAATCCTCCACTAAATTATAAAATATTTTAAAACTATATCTGTTTCTAATTTCTCCTGATATTTACCAGGTGTTCAAATGTTCTTTGCATGATAGTTTCAGGATGAATTAATTGTTTAAATAAGAACCTCTCTAGCTTCTTCCCATGGTACTATTGCAAGTTAATTACTATATTGATTATAATTCCTTTCATAGTAAGTTCTCTGACTGCACACTAGGTAAAAATGTTTAAAAAGAGTTATCATGGGAATATTAAAACTAGATACAGGATAAATTTTACAACTATTTCAACTCGAGAAAAAAATATTAAACATTGTCTATCTACTAAGCAATAGATATATGTAAATTACTAGTAGATGGAGTGTTTTCTCACAGATGATCTCAATCTATAATAATAAAAGCCTAAGTGACCATCACAACCGAACAGACTGTGTGGGGTGACCAGGCCTGCAGGGGGCCAGTGAGGGGTGACCAAACGACTGAGCTGCAGGCTGCATGGGTTGACCTGGCCCATAGGGGGGGCAGTTGGGGATGACCAAGTTGGCAGGAGGGGGGTTGCATTGAGGGCTGACCAAACAGCTGAGGAGCAGGCTGCATGGGGCAACCAGGCTGGCAGGGGGGTTAGTAAGGGGCAACCCAACAACTGAGCAGCATGCTGTGTGGGGCAAACAGACTGGCAGGGGGTTTAGTGAGGGGTGGCCAAACAACTGAATCGCAGACTGTGTGGGGTAACCAAGCCCACTGCGGGGGGCAGTGAGGAATGACCAGGCTGACAGGGGGCGACCAGGTCAGCAGGGCGCAGTAAGAGGCAACCAGGCTGGTGGGTGGGGGAGTTAGGGGAACCAACACTGTAGGACATCTCCTGAGGGGCCCCAGATTGGAGAGGGTGCAGGCTGAGCTGAGGGGACCACCCCCATGCATGAGTTTTGTACACTGAGCCTCTAGTACAATATAAGTATCACAAGGGACCCAGTGCATGAAATTCCTGCATGGGGGAGAGCGTGGGGGTCCCTCAGGCCAACCTGCACCCTCTCCAGTTGGAGATCCCTTGGGAATGTCCAATCTCGGGTTTAGCACCACAAAGATTCATCATCCTTAAAATTTCCCTCTGCTCCTTTGTAGTTAAATCTCCTTGCATCAAGTTCCTAGCAAGCTTGTTTTCTGTTACTATAAATTTACTCTAATATTTTGGTTAGTTACAATATTTTTATGGTTTATCCTTCACATTTAATTAAAACACACCTTCTAATAATTACATTGTTAATGAAGTTGTAGGGAAAATGAAAATTAAATAGTTCAGGAAAACATCTAAATGAGAAAAAATAAAGTTAAAAATATTAAGCACTTCTGTTTTGAATATGAGTTATTTCTGAAAATGAAGAAAATGCTGCTAAATCTTATATGTTCTTAATAATTATTTTTAATAAATTCTTATCATATTATTTAACAATATTTCTTTAAAAATTGATCATTGTCTTGATAATGAAATTTTAAAATATTTAGAATATATGTTGGCTAAATTATAAATTACTAAAGGCCCAGTGCATGACATTCATGCAATAGGGGGCGGGGGTACCTCAGTGTGGCCTGTTTCCTTTGGCAGTCATTAGTACTACTGCAAGGCAAGAGAGGCTCCTGCCACCAGTGCTGTGCTCATCAGCTGTAAGCCCGGCTTCTGGCTGAGTGGTGCTCCCCGTGTGGGAGAACACTGATCACCTGGGACATCTCCTGCATTGAGTGGCTGCCCCCTGATGGTCAGTGTACATCATAGCGACCAGTGGTTCTGCCATTCAGTCAATTTGCATATTAGAGTTTTATTATTATGATAGTATGCCTGAAACATCTTCTTAATAGTAAAAATTAATCATATGACAATAACAAGTATTATGTTTAAATGATAATAAATGTGATATGAGGATTTATATATTGGCAATAAATTATACTCATACTAAATGTTCTTTTGTATTTTATCAACTTACATAATAATTAAGTGAATTTATCCAAAATATCCATTCCCAAAATATATAATTTCATAACATTTGTCACAGTCTGATTCTTCATTAGACCTAAAAAAAATAATTTGTCAAATTTAAATGATAAGGGCCTTCTATTGTTTGAATTTTTTTATTGAAAATGTTAACTGGTAGGAAAGAGGGTTAGTGGTGAAGAGAACCATGTTCTACGGGTTTCCATTCGCACCAGCAGCCCTCCGCTGACCTCCTAACACTCGGCTCATTTTGTCAGAAAGGGCCCCTTCAGACCAGCCTGAACTTCAGCCCGTGGCTCGACGACTGGCAACCAGGAAATATATGAACTCAAAGGGAAATGAGTTTTTGGGCCTCTCAAGAATGAAGTTGGAATTTTCTACTGTAAAGAAGTTTTTATTTTTTTGCAAAGTGTCTTTGGTTTGATTTAGGTTCTGCATTCTGTAAAATTGTTGAAATTTAAAATTTTGAGGAAATTATCTTTTGAACATTTTTGTTGTACATTAGAGGTTATGAGTACTAGATGATATGTATTATATGAAATATATGTGCATATAAGTATATATGCAATATAAAATGCATGTATAAATATATTTGTACTAGGGGACCAATGCACAAAATCCATGCAGGGCCTCAGCCCCGTAGCACGGCAGCTTGCCTCAGCCCCAGCTTCGCCTGGAAGGTCGTCTGGAAGGGCATCTGGAAGCTCGTTTGGCTGTCCAGTCTAATTAGCACATTACACTTTTATTACTGTAGATAGTATACTTGAAAATATGCCTATCTCTCGGAAACCACTTAAAACTAAAAATAATAGTTACTTTAATTACCTATAATATCAGTCCAAAGTTAGTGCTGATGAACAAATTTAATAAAATGGTATAATACAAAATCAACATGCAATAAACAGTAACTTTCTATACACAAACCATGAACTTTCTAAAAAAGAAATTTTAAAAAATCCCATTAACAATAACAAAAAAAGGAATAAAATACTTAGTAATAAACTTAGCCAAAGAAATAAAAAACATGTTGAAGGAAATAAAAAAAAAACACACACACACAACCAAATGGAAAGACATCTGTGTTCATGGAATGGAAGAATTAATATTAAAATATTTATATTAAACAAAATTATCTATAGATTCAATTCAATTCCTATAAAAAAAAATCAATGGCATTCATTATAGAAATAGTGAAACAAACCTAAAATAAATATGGAGCCACAAGAGATCCTAAATAATCAATGCAATTGTGAGCAACAAGAACAAAGTTAAAACATTCTGATTTTAATTACCCCTTTGATTTATATATTACAAAGCCATAGTAATCAAAGGAGTATGATACCAGCATAAAAATTGTATTTAGACCAATGGAAGAAAATAGAGTCCTCAGAAATAAATCCATGAATTTATGGTCAATTGATTTCGATTAGTTGCCAAGAACACACAATGGAGAAAGGATAGTCTCTTCAATTAACCATTGTGCACAGTTGGCAGCAATGTAACTTTAACAGCCATTAGAGAAAAAAGTATGGAGATGACTCCAGATATTAAAAACAAAAACAAAAACACCCATAAGATCCAATAATCCCAATTCTTATTTTAAATACAAAGGAAATGAAATCTCAGTCTTTAAGGGGCATCTGTTATTCCAATTTATTGCAAAAGTATTCAAAATAGCCAAGACATTAAACTATTTAAATATCCAATAAAGATAAATGGATAAATATCCATATAAAGATAAATGGATATTCTTATTTTAAATACAAAGGAAATGAAATCTCAATCTTTAAGGGGCATCTGTTATTCCAATTTATTGCAGAAGTATTCAAAATAGCCAAGACATTAAACTATTTAAATATCCATATAAAGATAAATGGATAAAGCAAATGCAGAATATGCATACAAGAGAACACTATTCAACTTCAAAAAAAATTCATTCTATCATTTGAAACTACATGGATAAACCCTGCTCCTTATGCTAAGTGAGATACATCAGACAGAGAAGGACAAATACTGCAAGATATCACTTATATGTGGAGTCTAAAATATTGAAAATCAGATTCAGGGAGCAGAATGGCTGTTGCCAAGAAGAGGGAAGGGGAATAGGAAGATATTGGCCAAGGGTTTACACTTTCAGTTATGTAGGATGAGTTAGCTCTGGATTTAATATACAGCATGGTGACTATACTTAACAATACTGTATTGTATAATTGAAATTTGACAATAGGAAGACTGTAAGCATTCTCACTAAAAAAGAAAAAAAATTATGATAACTGCAATACTCTGATACGTGAAGTGATGGATATATTAATTCACTTAATTGTGGTAATCATCTCAAAATGTATATTCATATCCAAACATCAAGTTGTACACCTTAAATATATACACTTTTTATTTGTCAACTAGAGGCTCAGTGCACCAAGATTCGTGCACTCAAGGGTTTCCCTCAGACCAGCCTGCAACTTTCACAATCCAGGACCCCTCAGGTAGGGTCCCTAGGCCTGGCCTGAGATCAAGGCCTATCAGGACTTTCCTTCCCTGGGCTGCAGGCAGCTGGCCCCACCCCTGCCACTGCCACTGCTTGCCATCTGTGCATGCTGCCCCTCCTCCCCTGCCACTGGTGGCCTCCCTCTGCAGGCGACAGGCTGAGGTATAATGGCTTGGCTAGCCTGATCCTTCCTCTTTATTTAGTGTAATATTTGTGGCACAAATATTTTAGTATATATTTTGTGTGGAATATTGTTTATACAGAAACGTGCTGAGTTTGAATTACTGAAATGCTTTTACTCCCTGAAAATCTTTTTAATCAGAATATCCTATCTAATAAATAGGGAATGTGTTAATTGACTGCCCTGCCCTCAAATATGGTGGCTCTCACAGCAACAAGATGGTGGTACCCAGTCCCCTCAGCCCCTCCAGGGTGGCTCCATGCACCTGCCTCCGGAGTCCCCCAGCTGCCCAGGGCTATCCTGAGGCCAGGCAAGACTCAGATAGCAGTTACCCAACCACCCAGGGCCACCCAAGGCTCAGGTAACCAGAGCTGGCCAAGGCTTGTGGTGCCAGCAGTGGCAGCAGCAGAGGTGTGGGGATGGGGCATCACTTTCCCCTGATCTCCAAGTCAACTCCGGCCCCTGAGGGTTCCTGGACTGTGAGAGGGGGCAGACTGGGTTGAGGGACCCCCCTCCAGTGCATGAGTTTTCATGCACTAGGCCTCTGGTACAATATAATTAAACACAAAGAGATTCAATGATTCTTAAATCTGAAAACAAAGAATATTCCTTAAATTTAAAGGGAAAACCCTCAGTTTTACTTTTATTTATAAATGTCAATTGTGTCCTTATTTTATTATAATAAGAACAGTTAACAAGATATCTACTTCACAAAATTTTATGTGTACAATGCAGCATTATTCGCTACAGGCACAATGTTGTACAGCAGATCTCCAAAATTTATCTTGCAAAAGTTACTAACCTTTGTCCAACATCTCTCCATTTCCATCTCCTCTGACCCCTGACAACTTTCATTCTATTCTTTGCTTTTAAGTATTTGACTTTTATTAGATTCTACATATAAATGATATTATGCAATTTTTTTCTTTCTGTGCTTGGCTTTTTCACCTAGTATAATGTCCTCCAGTTTCAACCATTTTACTGCAAATGGTGGGATAGACTTACTTGTTTAGGATTAAAAATATCCCATGGAATATGTCTGCCACAATTTTTATCTTTTAATTTAGCAATGGACACTTAGGCTGTTTTCTATAACTTGGTTACTGTGAATAATACTGCAATGAACATGGAGTGCATATCTCTTTGAGGTACTGATTTAATTTCCTTTGGGTGTAGACTCATAAGACAGATTATTGGATCATATAGTAGTTTTATATTTAGTTTTTTGAGGCACCTCCATATTATTTTCCATGATACCTCAATTTACTTTCCCACCAATGGTGTGCAAATACCATGTTCTTTTGATTACTGTAATATATTTTAAAATGCCTCCAGTTTTATTCTTGCTCATAATTGTATTGGAAACTTGGGATCTCATGTGTGGTTTCACATGAAGATTAGAAAAATTTTTTGTATTTCTATATAAAATGATGCTATTGATATTTTTGTAGGGACAATTTTTGCATTGTATCTATAGATCACTTTGGGTATTATGAATATTTTAATAAGATTAAATTTTCTTAAACTCATTTCAGATAGTTCATTGTTAACATAAAGAAACATGAAGATTGATTCAGGAGCAGGATCCCAATTGCAAAGGTCCCACTCCCAACGATATCTGATAAGTCTACCCCATAGTAGAGAGGAGAGAACAAAACCAATGGGAAGCTCCTGTTCTTTAGATGTTTATATCTCTATGACTTTCAAGGAATATGTACTGTTTTGACTTTAATTTTCTAGTTGAACTAGGCCACGTGAGCTTCACAAATTAATGTTATTGTGATTTCATGGAGTTGTATTGAGTTTGAAGAAATTAATATAAATTGCATTAAGTTTTTATAAATTAAGGATAATTTTAATCTGTGTCTAGTGGACATTATCATCTTCTTTATTCACCTCTATATATCAAACAGGATACATCTCAGTGAGAACACCTTGTGATACCTAGATTGTTACTACTGCCCTCATTTCAGGGCGGTGGAAGAAAGCTCTCTCTGAACTTGGGTCTAAAGTCAGCGTGCAGTAGGCATTCAAAATATCTCAGTCCTTCCACTGGCCTTCACAGGTCTTTTCATTACCTCATTCCTAGTGAACTTCAAGCATCTGGCAAACCCATATTCATATAAAGTATGAAACTTAACTATTATTTAAAAGTATTTGCCATTAGCTTCCCATAAATACACTTACATTTGTGCAAATGGGTAAACATGAAAGCATCTCCAGACACAGTGTTATAACCTCAATGTACACAGCTTTAAAATGCTTCCAGGTAAGTTTAAAAGATGATTTCTAATTGACAGTTTAGCTTGAATTGTTTCTACACTGAAAAATGAAAGTTGGGAAAACTCTTTAGCCATAAATCAAGGGTGAATTACAGTATTTTAGTTATCTGAATATTTCAGAAGAAAATGGTTTGGGTTTAAATTATTAAACAAGAGACTGACTTATATATTATTTTTCATTAAAACAAAATCATTTTATGTCTAGTTGTAATCTTGTACACAATTATGGCTCTTATGGCTCTGATATCCTTACTGCAATTTTGCATTATTTTATTGCTGTATAAAGATTTAAATTTCTCTTATAAGAATATTGCTATTTAATTACTAATAATCACTTTAATTAAAATTTGTTAACAGGAGAATTTCATTGTGGATTTGAAGATGGTAACATTTGTTTGTTCACACAAGATGATACAGATAATTTTGACTGGACAAAGCAAAGTACTGCAACAAGAAATACAAAATATACTCCAAATACAGGACCTAATGCTGATCGTAGTGGCTCTAAAGAAGGTATGAGGGGATGAATTGTGTTAATAACAAACATACCCTAACCTTTGGATGTTAGAAATGGCATTAACATGAAAGGCAAGAGAACATTTAGCTATAGATTAAAAGATTGTGAAATAAAATATTAAACATTTTTGCACAATAATTTAGGTATTTCAAAAGTGTGTAGACATTAATTCTCTCTCAGAATTCAGACACATATAGTTGACAGACTAGGATTATTATTTTGAAATTAAGTGTATAATTCAAATTTTGTCTTAACTTTTTATACATTTTAAAATGTTTTTAAATATGTAAATTTCTTATTCTTTATATAATATACATTTACATATTTCATAAATGAGATGCCAACCCTTTTATCAATTTTGTACTTGTATAAAAACTCTAAAACTTATCAACAATTTCAAATTTCATGTTACCTAATAACAATAAGTTTAAACATTTTTTTTTCATCTTTTTAAAGGTTTTTACATGTATATTGAGACCTCACGACCAAGATTGGAAGGTGAAAAGGCTCGACTTCTCAGCCCAGTCTTCAGCATAGCTCCCAAAAACCCGTATGGCTCCCCAAACACTGCCTATTGTTTCAGCTTCTTTTATCACATGTATGGACAGCATATAGGTGAGGTGCATGAATTATTATGTTTCTTCTTCTGAAGTATATCATCACTGAGATGAAAAATGTTTATAAACACACAGCATTAAATCAATTTTAGTAAAAAAAAAAATTGACTTTTATATAACTTACTTATAAAATGCAAAATAAGATGTTAAAAATGTTCCTTCCACCATCATGTCTTAATTTCCCAAATTTAGATTGGAATTTGAAATTTTGGACCATTGCCTACCTTTTCTAGGATCCTAATTCAAGCAGATCATAAATGGGTTAAATTATTTATGAGATATTCTTGTGGAATTTAATACCAGTACAACTTAGACTGCTTCTTTAAAAAAAATTGCTTGAATTATCACTCAATGTATATTAATGATTGTGAAAAAGAAGTATTTTCTTATTTGGAAGACAGTACTTTTACCACCATCTACACATTCAGAATATTGTTGTGAATTTTTCCTTGTTTATAAAGTATACCTAACACACTAGTGAGAGTTAAGAATATCCTCAGCCGAAATCGGCTTGCCTCAGTGGATAGAGCATTGGCCTGCGGACTGAAAGGTCTCGGGTTCGATTCTGGTCAAGGGCATGTACCTTGGTTGCAGGCACAACCCCCAGTAGGAGGTGTGCAAGAGGCAGCTGAATGATGACTCTCTCTCATCGATGTTTCTAACTCTCTGTCCCTTTCTCTTTCTCTCTGTAAAATCATAAAATTATATATATATATATATATATATATATATATATATATATATATATATATAATATCCTACCAGGACCGGTTTGGCTCAGTGGAGATATATATATATATATATATATATATATATATATATATATATATATATATATATATATATAAAGAATATCCTACCAGGACCGGTTTGTGCCTGCGGACTGAAAGGTCCCGGGTTCGATTCTGGTCAAGGGCATGTACCTTGGTTGCGGGCACATCCCCAGTGGGGGGTGTGCAAGAGGCAGCTGGTCGATGTTTCTCTCTCATCGACATTTCTCTCTGTCCCTCTCAGTTCCTCTCTGTGTAAAATCAATAAAATATATTTTTTAAAAAGAAGAATATCCTCAATCCTTAAGAACATACAAAGATGAAGATACACTCTCTGCTTTTAGAGACCCTGCACAGTCATGGAGCATAACATGAGTAAATACACAACTGTGCTAGATAGAAACCACAGAAACTTGAGAAAGAACCTACAATTCATAGAGGGAAACTGAGAAAGTTATATAAACCTATAATAATTTATGTGCAATCTTAAAATAAAATAAAAAACCTTGAAAGATTTTAATGTAATTATTTGGCAATGCATGCTAGCCTACTACTATACATGTGTTAGAATATAACCTGGACTGATATGAGCCTGTTTATATAGTCCTTATTTAACCTAATGAGTGTGAACATTTGTACACTTTGCAGCAAAAATATTGCTGTGTGATTACAGATTCCATTCTAGATTCTTCCAGCAGATGTCATGTAATATATATATATATAAGATATGCACACTTAATAAAGAAAATTCTCAATAGTAAAGTATATCAAGTCCCATAGAGCTTGGACAAGGGAGTGGGGATCTGCATCTAATTAATGAATAAATCAATGCTTTGGGAAAAGGAAAACATTTCTCTACAAAAGATGAGTAATTTTCAAAAGACAGAGATGAGCACAAGGAGGACTAAGGCACTGGAAACCCGGGTATAAAGTGTGAGAAGTTAGGATAGCATGGCATTGTGTCAATGTAAATTAATAAAACTAATAATAAATATGAATATTTTATAAAATAATGCACATTATATACAACATCTGCTGTACTAAATGAAATAATCTTCTTAATCATTTTATAAAAAATTAGTATCACTGCCCATCTTTTCAGTGAAGAAAACTGAACCTCAGAGAGTTTGTATGAATTGCAAGCAACAGAGATTCAAACTCATAGCCAGCACTATAAACCAGTGTCAACCTGGAAGGGAAGCTCTTGTGCAGTAAACAGTACCCTCCATGTGTAGTCAGGGAACCTGTGCTGGGAGTTGCCCATAGCACTCAATCACTGTAAGAATGTATAGCAGTTATTTAACATGTCTGGATCTTAGTCTCCTTATTTGTAAACAATGAATACTATTTATTTCAGAAATTTTTTGTTCAAGTTAGACAACATATGTAAAACCATCTATCTCATAGTAGACAATCTTATGTTACTTTGAATCTCAAATAGCAACAATAACATCAATAATAAAGTAATAGCTCATTCTTATCAATAATAAAGTAATAGCTCATATCTTATGGAGTAAGACAGAAGTCCTAACATGTTCTGAAGTATTTCTTTTAATTTTTGCAATAAACATTGTACTCATTAAAATCACTACGGTGTGTTTTTTTTTTTTTTTAAGAAAACTGAAACACAGATAACTTTAAGTATCATGCCAATTAAACTTAGAACTGATAAGTACGGAAGCCATAAAACCTGTCTAGGAAGCTGGACACAAAATCTGCCTGCTTCCGTTCTGCAGACTTATGGAGCGTCACGGAAGCATAGTTGATTTAGTGGTCAGGGGAGATATTACAGGTTTTGTGCAGACAATAAGCATGATGAGATCTTTGATTTGGAAAAATAAATCTTATAGGAATGGTAAAATCATTGACAGAAGATGAGATGAAAAAGCATTTAAAAAGCCATGAGAATAATCATGCATTCACTTCAGCCTAAACTTTAACAGGAAATTAATCCATATACAATTGCTAAGCCATTTTATTTATTTTGAGATTTCTATCTTATTACAAAAGTAGGGTAGGGTTGGCTCTACTTTTCCCCTTTAGTTGATCATGTATATTTAACTTATTCTCTATTATAAATATACTAGAGGCCCAGGGCACAAAATTTGTGCATGGGGGGTGTCCCTCAGCCCAGCCTGCACCTTCTTCAATCTGGGACTCCTCGAAGGATGTCCAACTGCCCATTTATTTGGGCCTAAATGGGCAGTAGGATATCCCTCTCACAATCCAGGACTGCTGGCTCCCAACTGCTCACCTGCCTGCCTTCCTGATTGCCCCTAACCACTTCTGCCTGCCAGCCTGATCACCCCCTAACCACTCTCCTGCCAGTCCGATTGATGTCTAACTGCTTCCCTGCCAGTGTGTTTGCCCCCGACTGCTCTCCCCTGCAAGCCTGGGTCCCCCATAACAGCCCTCTTTTGCAGGCCCAGTCACCCCCAACTTACCTCTCTTGCAGGCCTGATCCCTCCTAACTGCTCTCCCCTGCTAACCATCTTGTGGCAGCCATCTTGTGTCCAAATGGAAGCAGGATCTTTGACCACATGAGGGCAGCCATCTTATGTGTTGGAATGATGGTCAATTTGCATATCACTCTTTTATTAGATAGGATAGAGGCCTAGTATCTGGGATTTATCTTCTATAATTGGAACTTTGTAGCATTGAGTGAAGGCCTGGGCCTGCCAGGGTATGAGGAAAGCTTGGTTTCCTCCATTTCTGGGGAAACCCAAACATCCTGCTCACTTTGTGGCTGTAGCCATCTTGCTTGGGTTAATTTGCATACTAGCTCCAGATTGGCTGGGGGGCATGGCTTAAGGGTGTGGTGGAGGTATGGTCAATTTGCATATTATTCTTTTATTAGATAGTATTTCATGGACAATTTACCTTAAGATATGGATATTTTCAATTGCTTTTAAGTAAATAATTTAAAGATCAATAACTTAAAATACTTAAATGAGAAAATATGTAATTACCTTATTTATGAGCTGAGATACTCTCAAAATTTCTGCATATTTATGCTTAATCCCAAGATAACTTTAACATACTTTTAATTTAACAATTGTTTTCCTTATCCTTTTTTATTGTGAATGGATGTTCAGTTGACTTCTGCTAGCTTTATTTTGATTGTTTCAGAAGAAGGCAGTTGTGCATTACTCCTTTGTTCTCATACATTTTCCACTTTGTTACCTGTGACATTTCTGTGCTGTATCGGGAGGTTGGAAGTTGCAGGTGTCAGATCACTTGGGTCCCTCTCAGCAGGACACAGTCATTCTTCTTACTGAAATCTAGGCAAATGTGTTTGTCCTATATATTGATTAATCAGTTAGGACTAGATGAGGGAAATGCTGCCTGCAGTTGAAACCTTCTCTCTTTGCAAATATTGTGTTGAGACACTTAATGCATCTATAAGACCTAGTTTATTTATAGTTACTGGTTTTATAAATAAAATTATCAGTTTTATTGATTCTTTGGGAAATTCATATTGAAAACCAATTTGTCCTGAATTTCTAATAGTCTAATCAAAATTATTACTTCTTGTGTAACCATAAATAATCTTTGCTTTTAACTGTAACTAATGGATAGTAGACCATTGAGAAAAGTCTTAAATTTTTAATAATATAAAAATTTATAATCAGTTATACATTACTTAGAAAAGAGATTCCTCTTTTAAATAAAGTCAAATATATGTACTTATTGCTCAAGGACAAATTTCCCTCAAATTTTGTACTTTAAAGCAGTGGTCGAGGCAATAGACATTTACTCTCCCACTGTTTCTGTGGACTAGGAACATGGGTATGTCTTAGCTGGATACCTATAGCTCAAGGCCTTTCATAAGATTGCAGACAAGTAATGTGTAAGGCAGACTAATTTGAATATTTGACTTGGAGAAGATACATTTTTGTACCCATTCTGTTGGCTTTGAGCAGGCTCACTCCCTTACAAGGATTACAATAAGGTTATCAACTTATTGCTGGCTATTGGTCAGAGGCCTCTCTTCTCCATAGACTGTCTCATGGCATGGCGGCAGGCTTCCCCCAAAGCAAGAAACCTACCAGAGAGAATGCTCAAGAATTTTTACAATCTCATCTCTGACTTCACATCCCATAACTCTGCCTTGTTATATTTATTATAACTAAGTTGATAATTCCAACCCACATTCAAGGGCAAGAACTTATACAAGAGTGTTAATGATAGGAAGGTGAAATAATTATGCAGCATTTAGAGGTTGTAT